TCTCTCTCTCTCTCTCTCTCTCTCTCTCTCTCTCTCTCTCTCTCTCTCTCTCTCTCTCTCTCTCTCTCTCTCTCTCTCTCTCTCTCTCTCTAGTTGTACTTTTCCTTTGTGTCTTTGCTCTTTACTTCAAACCGACCAAACCAATTCATTTCTCCCTCTCTCTCTCTCATGTGTCTTTTTCATTTTTTATTTCTCGGTACACTGCCGTTACGTTTGATGGGTACGTTGTACTGTGGCGTTGGCGATCTCGCGGGCAACAGTAATAAACGGCAGCGGTGCCAGATATGAATCAGGTTTTGTTTGAGAGGGAGCAGAGAGAGCTTATGTAGGGGGAAGGGCAAAGAGGTGGGAGCAAGGGGGTAGATCAAAAACCTCAAAACGGATGAAGCAAGGGGCGCAAGAAGCTTCACGACGGCGCTTGATGGCAGCGTCTCATGCTCACATGACTGTCTAAAAGCGGCCACACAACCCCAATCGCTTCCTCACACGTGTTCATTTGCTGGACTCTCCATTCGCATTCGCAGGCGCTCTTTTCCCCACGCGTGCGCTGCAACAGACCTTTTCAAAAGACCCGTGCCCTGCGCTGACGCTGCTTGACCTTTGGCGAAGCTCTGCACGTGGGGTCGAATGTGAATGTGTTGGCTGCTGCTGTTTCCCCTTTTGTGTAAAGACAAAGGTTGTAACGATCATCTGGCCACCATGAAGGCCCAAGCCAACAGCGTTTCGGGCGCTGTTCTACCCATCCTGGCCTACTGTGCCTGCTCCATGTCCATGATCTACACCAACAAGCTGGTTCTGTCCGTCTACGACTTTCACTATGCGGCGTGCCTTCTGATCTTCCAATCAGTGGTGGCTGTGCTCTGCCTGTGGGGCCTCAGTGCCATGAAGTACATTGACCTCGAGCCCTTTAGCATGGAGACTGCCAAAAAATGGAGCCCCGTGACCATCTTCTTTGGACTCATGCTCTACACCGGCAGCAAGACTATCACCCTTCTCAGCATCCCCGTCCTCACCGTCTTCAAGAACATGACAAACCTGGTCATTGCCTTTGGCGATTGGTATTTTTTCGGACAAACCGTGACCCCCGGTATCATCGGCAGCTTTGTGATGATGACAGTTGGCTCCGTCCTCGTCAGCCTTTACGACCTTGAGTTTAACCTTGCTGGCTACGTCTGGATGTCTTTCAACTGCCTTTCTCAGGTCGGTTCCCAGCGTGTCTGACCCTGCCTCTTCATCGGATTAGAGTGAATTCTACCGACTATTCTTGGCTCGTTACCGCGTCTCCCTTTGCTGCGAGGCACATTTGCCTTCCCTCTTCCCGACTCTCACCCTCTCCCTCCCATTTTGTCATAATAATAGGCAGCCTACGTGCTGTATATGCGCCGAGCCAAGCAAACGACCAAACTCTCCGAATGGGGCATGAGCTTTTACAACAACCTTCTCTGTGCTGGACTCATGGTTCTTTCGGCCGTCGGGTCGGGCGAGATTTTTGAGGCTGTCAACTACCCGAGCCTCAGCGACACGGGCTTTCTCTCAGCCATGATCTTTAGCGGTGTGATTGGTACCGGTCTCAGCCTCAGTGTCTTTTGGTGTGTTAATGCTACTTCGCCGACCACCTACAGCATGGTCGGTGCCTTGAACAAAATCCCCATCACCTTCATCAGCATTGTCTTTTTTAATACGGAGATGGACTCCAAGCTTGCCTTCAGCGTTTGCGTTGGCCTACTTGCCGGTGCGTGAATCCTCCCTCAATCGTCTCTCCACCCATTGCCATTGTTTCGAAGATGAATGCCTGCCAACATTGTTTCTTGAATTTCACTTCGTCCGCCTGTTTGCATCGAATGATATCAGGTCTGGTGTATACGTATGCGAAGCTTCAGCTGCGCAAGTCGCCTCAACCTGTCAACGAAAAATCAGCCGAGAACGAACGCCTGCCCCCTTTCAAGGCGGGTCGGTAAATTCAGCGTATTGGAACATTTTCAGTCCTCATTTTTCAATCCTCAAGAGCAGCATCTTGGTGACTCTTTTCGGTGTCTTGCCGATCTCTCTCCCTTGTGAGCTTGCGCATGGTCTGCGCGTGCCTCTATCAGAATCGCTGCACTCATGCAGCTCACTAGGCGTGTGTCGTGGTTGTCATTGTGTTGCTATTGCTTTCCGCCGTTGCTATTTCTTTTCGCCAACCTTGTCAAGTTGTGAAGAGTGAATACGGCGGATTGGGGTCGGGCACAAAGTCGAATTGAAAATGTCGGACCCTCACATTGCTTGCAGTCCCAAATCATGCCTTCGGGGGGGGTTTAAAAAAAACAGCGAAATTCAAATTCAAACTCCTGTTTAGAGGTTTATGCAATTGACGTGCAAGGAGGTGCTGCAGAGTGCGCATCACGGGACCGAGAGCGCACTCAGCGGTTCCTGACTATCCAACAGAGCCACGTGCCCCACCACATCCCCGACGGCCAGGCGCAGGCAGTTGTCGGCCGAGCACGTGATTGCAATGGATGACAGCGCATTGGCGCCGGCCTTGCACTGGGTCAGCGATTCGCCCGTTTGGCCCCTAATCAACTGTCAACGTGCGTCAACCCAATAGTAAGGGAGACAAAGCCACGTAGCCCATGCAATGCAGGGCCAGTTTTTCCAAAATCCAAATTGCCTTACCACAATAGATCCACTCTTGCACGCGACAGCAAGCACGCTAGAGCTTGGTGTCACCGCAAGATCGACAACGACATCATTGGCTGAAAAGATCCACAAGGTTTGCCAAAGATCATGGGAGCCTATGTTGTCGAACGCCCACATGCAGATGAGTCCCCATGCCTGAAATGCCACAAGGAGAAACATGATCACCCCATTTGGATTTTATTGACAAGCATTCAACATACGCGCCAAGGGTTTACTATTGACAAGCCGACTCAAAGCCATGATCGAGCGGGCCGAAGAGCGAAAACGTCCGTGCCGGGTTGGACCAGGAGCTGCCCGCTCAGAAATGGCAACATTTTCAGCTGGCACGACGTGTTCCGGCTGTGCCTCCGAATTGACCGCATTGTCCGATTCTTGTGTGTCCACTTCCGTTCCTCTGTCGGGCGCTGGCCTGGTAAACATGGGATCTTGCAGTGCATACACGTTGCCAGATTGCGTCGCCACAAACAGCAGGGACTCGCTCCACAACCATACCACTGCCGTCACCGCTGACTTTGCCTGGAAGATGACATTGGCTTTGCCATCGCCACAGACTGATGCGAGGTACACCACGCCTTGTTCTGAGGCAAACACGACCTGGTCAGGTCCATCTGCGTTTGGCATGGCCACAACGGCACGCAGGGGCTCTTTGGCCCGAAAGGTCCACACACACGTCACATCATTCTGTCGATCCAAGCGCCATAGACGACCAGTTCCATCTTGACTGCACGAGGCAACGTGCGAATCGTCCACGAAACAACAGCCCGTCACGGGACCAGAATGGCCTCGCAGCGAGGCCCGTGCCTGGCCTTGTGTCAAATCAAAAACAGAAAGCGTGGTGTCTTGCGAGCCCACCACGGCGCACGCACCCCAAGAGCAAACGTCACTCTGCATAGCGTCACAGCAAAGTATCCAGTTGGAATGACCACGATAGGCCAGCTCGTTCTGCAGAGAGATTCCCCACACGCTCGCTGCGGCATCCGCTGAGGCTGTCAAAAAGCTCTGGCTGGTAACCCATGCACACCCAAGAACGGCAGCCCGATGCAAAGGAAGATATTGCGAGTCTGCTGCCTCATTTAGACCTTCCGTTCCATGGGACAGGTCGAAAAGCCGCATGGTCTTGTCGCAGCTACTGGAGACCAACGTGTCCCTACATCGCGAGCGCAGCACGCGTGTGAGGAGACACTGGAGCGACAATAATTAACCCATGAACCCCAACGACACGCATAAGAGACTCACCCGAGGGCTGACAACTGACTGATGGCACCTGAGTGTCCAGCAATAGAGGTGACAAAGGTGCCATCGCGAACTCGCCACAAATGCAATTGGTTGTCATCGGCTCCGCCAATCACAAGTTGGCCATCGTCGGCGAAGCTGGTGCAGCGCACCTTGTTGCGTGGGCCAACGCAACTTCGAGATCGGGACAATCGCCAGGCGTCATTGACGCAGAAAGCCTCATACAGGTCAACCTGTTTGCCCGTCGCCACTGCCACCTGAAGCAAGGCACGCGTGGCGCTTTCCTCGTTCACATCTGGCCGAGCAATACGTGCGGTTACGCCGAACACATCGGCGAGGCCATCCAGGACACCCACCTGCCGACCAGTACAGACATTCCACATGCGCACAGACACTGCATCACAGGAAAGTACGAGATGCAGATCGGGCACGGCTGCCAGATCGCGAAGGCTACCCTGGTGGCCCTCCAAACGATGAATGACCTGCCGGCCGGTTATATCGTACACAATGACTTTGCGGTCGCCTGTGCCCACAACCACCACGTCGACATCATCCGTGTGGTCTTCCACCGACGACTCGGAGGTCAAGGAGGGCCGGACGCTGGCGGCCACACCAGCACCATCGCTGCTGGGCTCTGTACGTTGTCGGCGCAGGGCGGCGCGACGATGCGGTAGCGCTGCAGCGGGTACGCGCAGTGTCACACAACGTACGAGCTCGCCGCTCTTGCTGCTGCCAGACCACTCGAGCAAGAGTTCATCGTGTCCCGTTGCCAAGTCGTGCAGAATCAACTTTCGATCTTTGCCCCCTGACACAGCATAGGTAGGCTCCGAAAAAGAGGGTTCGAAGGCACAAGCCGACACCTTGCCCTCGTGCGCATCAAAACGCCTCACGAGCCGATGCCGCTCGACGTCCCAAAAACAAACTGCCCCCTCACGTCCGACGCTGAGCCCAAAGCGACCACAAAGAGAAACAGCACAGCCGTGTACAATGCCGGTGTGCTCAGAAAAAATGCCACGACACACGTCACGCGTGTTGGGCTTGTTTTGCCACTCCAGAAGCAAAGGCAGGAGCTGAAAATCGCGCTCAGTGTCAGAGTGTAGGGGACGCTGCCTGCTCGCTGACAGAGCACGACGGTGCCAAAAGCCGTTGTTGGGCTGGTTCAATAGGGCTTGCCATAGGTTATGCTGCTTACGTACAAAATCGTAGCGGAACGTCTGCACAACCCGGTGCAAGGCGCGAATGCCATCGTGGCTCGACATGGAACGCAAAAGCTCAAGGTCTTCGAGCAGCTCAAAGCTGAGACCTGCGATAGACTTGGCATGCAGAAAAGGAATACTGGTCAAAAGCGCAATGGCCGAATCGACCGCCTGGCCACGACAAAGGTGAAATGGAAGCTCCGAGAGCGCTCGCAGATCAAGCGCGCCTGACCCCACCACCGTAGTATTGGAGGCCTGCGTGGTCGCACTGGGCACGGATGCCAGGCGTTCCGCGGTAGTTTCAGGCGGAGATGACGGGAACCAGGTTGTACGAACTTCTCGCAACATCGGGTGCGCCTCGATCTCATCGAGTGTTCGATGGTGTGTTGGAAAGGTATCGAGGGTGTCGCGTCGGCATCGGCCTTTGAAGGAAAGAAAGAGGGCGGCCAGGGCAAGGTGATAGCCAGGTGTATCCTGCAGGTAATGTGTTTTGACGGCCTGGCGGATAGCGTCGTGATGGAGGTTATATGCGCCATCGCGCACAGTCAAAAACATCTTGATTGCAAAGTACAACTGGGACCACTTGAGGGACATGTGCTGCAAACACAAGAGCGCGGTGGGAGGCCCGGTACGGCAGTTAGTCAGCATTAATGCCTTGCCGTGAAAACGAGAAATGATGACGCACCGGAGAATCGAGACCGAGAATCGGGCGCAGCTCATCGTCAATGGTCAAGCCGTGGCGAGAGCAAGCTAGAAAACAAAATACATTGGCGACGACGTTACGCCCATTGGCCTGAGGCACGTGAATGAAGAGGTTTTCAAGGCGTTTGAGAATGACAGCAATGAGCTCTTGCAGGCTGGTGCAGGCAGCCAGCTCTTGGATTTTGCCAGGCAGCAGGCTGTGTCGACCAAATTGCACGAGTTCTTGCAAAGCAAATTCGAGGAAAAGTGCATTTGTGGTGTGGGGATTCTCGAGCAGTTGGTCGCGCAGGTGGTCGGGCAGCGTCTTGGAGGCTGCCGAGATGTGCGCCTCCGCAATGGCGCGTTGCTCGTCCGGCGCCAGTGGGCTCAACGGCAGAATGACCGCATGCATTTGGCGCAAGCGGCTGAGCTGGTGTTCGTCCGACGTGGAGACGATGACGGTCAAGCCAGAAACGCGTTGCACCAGCGCGGAGACCCACTCCATAGTAAAGGTGCGACGACCCGGGAGCCAGGTGTAAGTGGTATCGTTCAGGCGATTGACCCCGTCAAGGACCAAGAAGATGTGCTGGGTCACGGGCGTCGACGTCGAGCTAGCCTGGTGAGCTCGCTTGCTGGGAGGTGGATTGCCTGTTGGTGCTGGGGTCAGGGCGCTGGCTGCAGCGACAAACGCTTCAAAGACGGCATGAAGATCATGGCTCTCAGGTACTCTGCAAGCGCGCAAATGCGCAACCGTGAAATTGTAAGAAGGGGTGAGATTGGCAAAGTCTGGGTGCGGTCAGAAGCGAGACACCCCTGCACAGATGGTGTGGCGGCAAGCGCACGTACTCGATGTTGAGCTGCAGGGCAATGTTGCTCAGAATGCCGTGCAGAGAGGTGGAGGTGGCATCGCAACCGAGGTGATGGAAAGCAACCTACCCCCAACGGCCGTCGTGAGCGGCGTGAGATTAAAGCATTTGATTTCACGCGGCCAATGAACAACAATGGCATCTGCAGCGAGCAGCGAGAAGGCTCTTGGGGTGCAGGCGACAACGTGGGCCACCTGCCCAGACATACGGTGGTGTCGGCATGCGGGTAGGCGTGAATCCAGCGGGCGAGGACGGCAGATTTGCCCAGCCCAGCTTCACCAGCCACACAAATCAGCTTGCCATCATGGCTTGACGTGTCAGAGGGATAAGCATGCTTGTTGAGTTCGGCCAAAAAGTTTGTCCGACCAACAAACATGCGCTGTTTTGCCAAGCTGAAGGCGCGATGGTTCCTGAGGATGCGGGCCTCGTGCGTGACGGACATGACGGGCAGGATGGACTGAAGTAGCTTGCGCACAAAGGTATACATTTCCAGCACTACATCTTCCGGCTCTTCGTAATCGCGAAGGAGGAGACAACCTTTGCCCTCCCGTTGCGCGCTCAGGGCGGCATTGAAGCATTCTTGTCGTAACCCTAGTATGGGGGAAACGTACAGGAAAAGGTGTGCACCTTGATAGGTAAGCGTGGGGGCAAGGGAAAAGAAGGTACAGCGAGCGATACATCAACAAGTTGAGCCTTGGTGAGTGCATCCATCGGTTCTCACGTTGAAGTGCAGCAATTTGCCCCGGTGGCGGTGGGGTGTACTTTCGAGCGAGCCCTCTGTCCGATTTAGCTAGCGCCTCTTGATAGATGCGCTCATCGTAGGCGGCGTCCCGAAATGCGACGAAGCTAGGTGTCTAAAATGAACAAGTTGCGTACCAAAATCAGGCATGTGCAGACATGGTTGGTCGGGCAGAGGCTGCCATTGGGGGACATGCGATGCATGCGACGAGCGATATTTGGCAATCGCACCGCAGTTGGATTGTTTAGAAAGCCGTGGCGAAACTCAATCTCCGTGACAGCGCGATCCTGATAGTTCATGATCCAGGGATGTTCCGCCTTGGCCTGCTCAAAGTTATGAAGGACCCAGGCTGAATTCGGGTCGGCGGGGTCGTAGCAGGACCCGTAGCGGCGGCCGTAGAGCCCAACGAAAATGTCGCTCAGCGATAGTTCCTTGAGACAGATCAGCAGGGTTTCGTTCTCGTCAGCTTGCTCCTGAGTGATGCCCCAGCGGAGATCCACCACCTGTGTGCACACACGAAGCAAGACGTATTCAAAAACGGGCAAACGTGGGAGATGAGCCAGGCCCTGCGTACGAGGCTTGACATCGCCCTGGACGACCAGGAAGCGATGATGCACGAAAAACTGGCAATTGCTGGCTGCGATTGGGGCTGTCTCCCCCCCCCACCGCAACCAGCCCGACAATTTCATTGATTTAGTATCGCACCTTCAGCAGAATGCCACGCGACTCGCAGGTGGCTTTGAGCATGGGTACATAGGACTCGACAAAGAGGGTCCGCTCGTGCTCCATGGTGACAAAGGGACTGGAGAGAAAGATGGTGATTTGGCCCTTCTCAATCACGGAACGGCGAAGAGCCTCAAGCTGTGGCCCATGAAGGTTGATTCGAACTCGATCATCCGAATGAGCATCGGCTGACAGGCCATCCGGCCCCAGGCTGGGCTGCGCGTCCACCTGGTGCGCCATGGTGCTGCTCTCCATGCGCCGGCAACTCTCCAGTCATGCGATGATCATCGAGTACCAAGCCACAAGGCTGACCGCGTCCAACCCTGCCCCGCCACACCAATGTACTTGATGTATAATACACCTTCCACACCAGCAACAGGCAGTTGTGGGCGCCGCGCCAGTGGCCAGCTGCAGGGCAGCACCGGTCCGAGACCGTTTGCGCGCACCAGTTAAATAATCTGACATTCGACAAATGCACTTCCTGAACGATATATACGACTTGATGCAGAAGCACATGAAGATGTAGAGCAACTTGTTGATGAGAGTTGGTGAGTTGTTGAAGAGGCATTTTTGTCAGACCAAGAAAATGCTGACAATCGCCTCCAGCAGCACGCAGCTCGTCGCGCTCGGCGCCTTTGGGTCAGTGGGCGCGCCACCACCGTTCGCCGTTCTGGCTGGCGGCTCTTGTGAGGTGGACGCCGGGACAGGCTGGGTGGCATGCTGCAAAGGCTGAGCGCCTCAGTTGATGAGGATGGGGTTGAGGTTTGGGGATGTGTGTATATCGGGACGAAAAAGGGTCGTAGCACGGCGCGTGGTGGCAATGACTGTGGCGTCTCACGCTCCTGGCGTCATGTACATGTATGATATTATAGCACGGCGCTGGCCGTGGCCTTTGGCGCCTTTGGTGCCCATGGTCTTCGCAATCACATTCGGGAGGAGAAGCGCCTCAAGGTTGGTTGACAGGCGAAGGCACCTGGTTGCTGTCCTTGACCGCTCATGACGCCGCGATCGCCCCCGTGCACTTGCGCTGCAGGCGTGGGAAACCGCAGCGCATTACCACCTTTTGCATGGCGTCGGAGTGATTGCGTGTGGTATTCTGCAGCGCCAGTCTGCCCTGCGTGCTGGTACGCTTGTATGACGCCTTTCTATCTGCTCACCTGATTGGAGCCATGCATCTCAAGACCAGCAATTCTCGACATCGTTGTAGGCGAGCTTTTGACCATTGGCACAACGCTATTTTCCGGCTCCATCTACGCACTCGTGCTCTTGGACATGCCCAAGCTCGGTAAGGCAGCTGGTCCCTTCACCCCAACGCAACTACCCAGGCTCATTCACGTGGCTGGTATCCATGGGTAATTTTACCGGGGTGCATGATAGGCATTATCACACCCATTGGTGGTTTGACGCTGATTGCCGGCTGGCTCTACTTGGGCTTTGCCATGATGAACAACTGGCCCTGAGAACGGGGAAAGCCGACTTTCAATTTTGACTCTTTTGAATTTATCCTTTTGGACTGCATGACGTGATCAGCTGAGCGCTGCTGTGACTTTCGGTTTCAACACGAGTGCAAAAGACATGTGTCAGGAAAGTCTCCGGGCAAGCGTCATTAATGTGTGCGGGATGGTGAACCAAACAGAGGGACAAGGCCACATCAAGAGCCATGGTACCCACCCCCACGACTGCGCGCATGCCGACATGCCGTGCTGCACCAAACCATAAGGCACGCCAACAGGGTGCTATTGTTGTGATATACAAGTCGCAACGCTTCAAAAAGTTTCTTCAGTATCCTCCTCCTGACGCTCGTAAGTGTCATCCTCATTCTCATAGTAGGATTGCAGATAGTCCCCACCCTGAAGAAAGAAGAAAGACGAACAAGCGGGAAGCGTGGCATGAGGTTGCGCCTGCTGCGGCGTACTGGTTGCTCGTGGAACCCCGGCATGCAGCATGAACGCGGCCGCACCTCTTCGTTGTCTTCTTCGTCATCATCCAGCTCAAAGTCCGAGCCCAGCTCGTCCTCCTCGTCGCTTTCGGCCTCGTCCTCCTCGCCCGTGGCACCCTCAGTCAAGGCTCGCAATTTCTAGAAGGGTAACCCAAGCACAAACCGTATGGAACGTAAGGAAGACCCGCACACGGCAAAGGCATTCAAGCACATCGATAGCTTCGCGCCGTACCGCCAGTTTGGAGGCAGTTGCCCCGTCACCCGTCGCTGTCCGAGACCCTGCTGCCCGCCGTTTCTTGGGCGGCATCAAGTCTGTGGGGATGCCCCAGCCTGATTATGCGCAACATAGTGCGAGGGTGGAGGAGGCGGGGGAGCGACAATCGATTGAACAGGGGTGAGACAAGGCAGAACTACCCTCAAGTCTGATTGCAAGTGAGACCTGGAACCCTCACCTTGATCCCAGATCTCCATCGAGGCTGCGAGTTGTTTGCGCTGCATACTCTGGCGCGACGCATCTGCGTAACGTTCCACGGTGCCTATGTCCAGATCGATTTCCCCGGGGGAAAGATGAGCGTCAATACGTCTAGACTGATGAGAGTTGCCGAATGTTTTTTCTGGGGACTGCTGGCCGGAGTTGTTCTGACGCACCATGGATGCGAGTCACCTTGGCCACGTGATAGGGCAGGACCTGAAAGGCCCCTTGATACCGTTGATGCCGTTCCATCAACGACATCAACTCTGCATCCTCTGGAATAGCAGCCGGCTTCTCATCAAGCGGCTGCAATCGCACAAAGCCACGGTTAACCAATGGACTCCTCAAAACCAGTTGACCATCAGCGCCATTGACAGAGCAGAGCGACCAGCGGAACGAGTGCTGCCTCGGGCATACCGGATAGGTGGGCAGTTCCTTCATCTCAAGCACGACGGGCGGACCGCCCGCCGCGCCGGGCGTGCTACGACGATGCGTCATCCCCACCACGCCGCACGCCAGCTCAATTCACCGTGCAGGGGGTGGGTGACTTGGCCCTGACCCGCAGACTGACCTCCGCGCACACGGACTTGCACGCTCACACACACACACACACACGACCAAGACGAGAATAGCGCGCGCTCTCTCTCTCTCTTCTCTCTCTCTCTCTCTCTCTCTCTCTCTCTCTCTCTCTCTCTCTCTCTCTCTCTCTCTCTCTCTCTCTCTCTCTCTCTCTCTCTCTCTCTCACTCTCTTTCTCTCTCGTGTGTTGTGGATATCCCCTGACTGCCGTCGTGAAAAGTCAGCAAAACTAAAAGATATGCTCACTTACTTCGCAGCTCGCTCGAGCGGTGGGACAAAAACAGTGGTCATCCACAACTTCTACACAAGCTTTATATTCTTCATAGAAAGTACCATATGCTTTAAATGTGTCTATAGTGTACCTTCAGCTGAGATCTGCAACAACTGCAATTTCTTCTTCAACAACTGTTTGCCACCGAGCCAAAAACGGCGGCGCCCACAATCTCGTGCCCAGCTGACGACAACGCGGGCGGCTCCGTCTGCTCTCAACGTGTTGTCGGCGTCGCCTTGTCGCTGGGGCGTTGGAGCGGTGTCAACTGGGTGCATTGCGTTGGCGATCGACCCAGCTCCGGGGAGCCATTCGAACCTGCGATCGTTCGGTGTCCCATGAAGCAAGCAGAGAGACGTGGGCCGCCAAAAGTGTTTTGGTCTGCATCGCCCTGTCTTCACGAGAGCGGAAACGGGCGGCATCGCCTCGAGACTTGCCTGATCAAGACGCCCACTTGTGGTCCAACGCTCAATGAGCGCTTGCGCGCCTCGTGCTGGTCTTATACTTGTCCCAGACCTTCGCTGCCAATTTTGACGTGCTGCACGTCCATCATCAGCTAAAGTGCTCCCTTGAGCGCGTTCTCCTTTTTTTTTTTTTCTGCCCAGCACAGCCCTTGCGTTTCATCTGGCCGCGGGGGCACACGCGGGACCGCTGCCATGTCCACTGCCCACTCTAGTGCTAGCCTAGCTCAAAACCGAACCCCGCCAACCAGCCCCGCCACCAACCGGCGGTTTAGCGAGCGCTTTCGCCAAATGGTTCGCTTTCTCCGACGTAAGTTTGCCATGCACGCCCTCCTCGTGGATCGTACGGTCGGGCAACCCATCGCTCTTTGCACACACTTGCCGGCCTCATGCCCGCCCTGCTTGCAGCCAATGCGGATGAAAGCAGCATCGAAGAGACCAGCACTGATGACCTACAGTATGACCTAGCAGATTTTGAAGGAGAAGGCATGGTGTTTACGGCTCGCGTAAGTCTCTATCCCCAATTGCTTGAGTGCAAGATCTACACCGGCTCATCCATGCCTCACATCTGCCCTTGGCCCAATTCGTTCTCCCCCTCTTCCCTCCTGCCTTCGCCTCAGTTTCTCTGTTCAATGGTGGCTGACCCAGCGGATTCAGCCGAGGCCATCGTGTACAAGCTGCAAAATACCATTCGTGCAAAGGACAAGAACCCGCGCATCGTCAACGTCAAAGTTGTGTTGACAACCTCGGCTTTCAAGCTTGTCAATGCCAGCAACAATGTCAGTTGAATGCACTCTGCCCACGCCCATTCCCCACCCGGCTGTGCTAATTTTGATTCCCCCTTACCTTCATTCCCCGGCCCCGCTGCTCCTCCCCCCTTTTGCCCACACTCGCATAGCTCCCCATCTTAGCTGCCTCAATCGAAGACGTGCGCCAGTGCTTTCGTGAGATTGTGTCTGCTGATGATCTTGCCATCATGCTCGCTGTACGTGCCCAGCTCCACTTTGTTTCTTTCTCTTTCGAATAGCAAACCAAGCCCCTCCATCTATACGAACCATTTGCCTTACGCTTTCAATCTTTCTCTTTCCTAGGTGGACTTGGCACGCTTGGGCAAGCAACAAAAATGCTATGTGCTGCGCACTACCGCAGTACGACCAGAGTTGCAATGATCATGCCCTTGACGTCTCTCTTCACTCGGCCTGTCTCTCACCGATGCTGTATCGTTTTGCATAGGCCGGAGATGTCTTCAATGCTTTGACTACCCTCATCACTCTGCTTGTGGTATCAACTTTTGGCCGCCTCGTAGCAAACCTCGTGCAAACCCGCACCCCGTGATGTCCGACTCACTGTAAACCCCGCCTTGCTGCCTGATCGCACTTGTTCTCCAGCAGTCAGCAGGCACGGGTGCAGGCGCTCAGTGCCGGCCTCAAGTACAGACGCACACGCCTCTGCGTCATCGGCGTGGCGGGCGTGGCGCCCGCGGTGCGCGACCACAGAGCGTGGATCTAGCTAGCATCCTTGAAAGGCGCTCGTCTGCTGAGAACATTGCCGACCGTCTGCCCAACCAATACCGCCTGCCCTCGTCGGGCATCGAGGCACCAGCTTCAAATGGGCCACCCCCAGTGCCCAACACACCTCGGCCCTACACCTTGCGGAGTGACCATTCCGCGTCTGGCTCCGTTAGCAGCGCCTCCGGGAGCAGCAGTGCCGGTGGTGGCCTCATCGCTTCTGATCATGGGAGTAGTGGAGAAGAGAGCGATGGTGGTCTCATTGCTTCCGATCACGGAAGTAGCGGCGAGGACAGTGAGGACGACGATGGGGACGACGGCAGCCTCAAAAGCATGGGCTCGTCCGAGGAGGAGCGAGACGAACGTGAACGCCGAGCAAGCCAAATACTGCCAGCAGCGGTCATGCTGCGCGAGTTTGACTTCAATCTCGAGCGCGACAGCTGGTATTGTCGCGCATGCAACTTTCACAACCCACCTCTCCAAGTTGACCAATGTGCAGAGTGCGGCGCGCTGAGCCACAAGGAAACGGTCTCTCCTTCGGTCTACAGTAATGGCCGCACCTCGCGCGAGAGTGACATTCGCGAGGGGTTCTATCTCGTCAACGATCAGTTGTACGCCAGCGTTGTGCCCTCACGCAAAAACTCGAATGCACCGTCTGCTCAGGGCAGCTCGCAAAGTCTGCTTGCTCGCTTTGCACCGCCGCTGCCCCCACGCGGTGCCAGTGATTCAAAGCTTCTTGTTCGATCCCATACTGACAGCCTGGTCACAGGGTCCACGTCCGCGTCGCCCTCAACCACAACATCCACGATGCATCTCGCTGACGCGAACTTGAAGCAGCCCGCCATCACTCGCAACCCTTTTGCCAGGTCTGCAAATCGACCGGCACACGATACCACAAAGCAGCGCGCCGCACGACCCCTGTCTCTGCCACCGAACACGATCAACGAGCGGAACACGACCGCAGCGCCGACCAAGCGAGCCTCTGCCCCCACGACCAAACCCACAACCATTCGCTTTCACGCCTCGAACCCCTTTGCTCAGATGGATGAGTGCACTAATGTTTAGCTGGAAAGGTTTACTCATGTTTCGTTTTGCCGCCAATGTTGCTAAGCCTACTTCCTCGTTTGTGCACATTGACGAGCCGTGCGCTCACCCATTGCTGACTTGAAACAGCAAAGCGCTCTGGACCGATTTTTTTTCCCAAATGTTGCGCACCACACCACGTTCGATCGCCGCCCTGCATGTTAAAATCAAAAAAAGGGGGGGGGTCCATGGACATGTTAGAGCTCTCGGCTTGGCGTTTTTGGCGCCCTTTTCTTCTTCAGTTCCATTTCAATTTTATTCTATGCAGACCGCATGAACGAACATCTCGCAAGACAACACACTATGTACCTTCAGTAGCAGTATCTAGCTTCCTACGACTGTCTCAACGGCATAATATTCGGTGTCTCAAAACATTCGGTGTCTCGAAATTTCAATGTCGGGCGCAAGGGTGTGGGACAACAGACACGGAGAGCAGTAAAATAATAACTCAAATGATAAATAGATTTGGGTTGCAAGCATGCGTGCGTGCGTGCGTCTGAACGACCTAACCGGACCGGCCGGCTTGAAAACAGCAAAGGTCAACTGTGAATGACAATCAAAGATTTAGCGTCGTCCTCGACACATGGTACCGGCGTCGTCGTTCCAGGCACATCGAGCAACTCGCTCAATTTGCGCTTGGTTGCTGTCACCTCGCGATGAACATGTTCCAAGACGTGAAGTTCCTCTCGTAGGCGAACAATTTCATGGTTGCACAAGGCCTTCACAGCAATCACATGAAAATGGGCACAGCGCGTGAGTTGCACACAAGTTTGTAGCCAATGTTTCAAGAGCGACACACACACACACACACACACACACACACACACACACACACACACACACACACACGAACCTGCTGCTCCTGGGCTAATTGCAGGTCTTCCTGATAGCGTTGAATCTCTTGTCGCAATTCTGTAACCAAAGCATCTTTCTCGCGGAGTCGCGCTGTGAGATAGCGGTATGGTTGGTCGCTTTGAGCCAGCTGCTGCTCCAAAGCCGCCGCTGCACTTTGGCTAGTCTCAAGTTCTGTGCGCATGCGCGCTGCTTCAGCCTGCGCTTCACCGAGAGATTTCCGGAGGGCCAATACCTCACGTGACAGCTGAACCGCACGCATGCCCGCCCGATCACTCATAAGCGGACCCTACCAGGGCGTGGACGATAAAGGATGAGCAGTGTGCGACCGACCATACCGTGCCTGCTTAGGTTGAGCCATGCTTCCACACATACCGAGGCATGGCCAGCTGACGCCACATTGAGGAGCGCGTCGTCAAGTTGTTGCTCGATGGACTCATACGCACCCAGCTTGGCCTTCAACTGCTCCGCCTACAGCACCCATGTGAATGATGCAAAAAAAAAAAAAAAAAAAAAAAAAAAACAGGAGATCATTGCAACCATATGATCCTCATAGTACTCTCGCTTACCGTGTGTTCCATAGCGACGGTCTGGCGTTGGGCATTGAGCTCAGCCTCATGCAGGCGACGAGTCAACACCTGAGTCGTCAGCAAGCACTCATCAGCAAAAAGTTTTGGCCATCTTCAGACCTCAGTTAAAAAAGAATAAGAAATAATCAAGTAGACGAATGTTCAATAAAACTCAAGCATCTACCTCCTTGTCTTGCTGGCTTTGGGCCAGCGCGTGGTTTGCTTTGTCCGTCTCCTGTCGTGCAAGCTCCAATGCCGTCTGCAATGTTCTCGCTGTGAGCTGAGTACTGAGCGGAAAAAGCAATGGGACAAAACTCCGCCTGGACCAGCAAAGTACCTTGGCACGGTCCAGTTCAAACTGCAAAATATGCGTGTTGGCCCGCTCCGCCGCTCCACTCGTTTCGTGTTGTATCTAAGCCCAAGCAGCCACTCAGCACGTGTGCGCAAATACAAGACCGGACAAGTCCAAGGGAGCTTACGCGCAGAGCATTGATCTCATTGGAGAGCTCTCGATTCGCTGCACGCTCCGCCTGGACGAGCATTCGCGGGAGCACACATCAGTTCCAGCGCGCAAGTCAATTTCGTGAAGTGAGGCGGGATATTGGTCACTGCCTAGCACTGTGCACACGGCGTCTGCTGAGAAACCTCACCTGGAGAAGAGCTTCACTTGCTTCACGAGCGCGAATGGCGTCATCACGCTCCCGGGTAAGGGAAGCCGTTTCCTGACGGTGGACCTCGGTGCTGCGTGCCTTGATGAGTTGCATCTCATGTTGATTCGTTTTGGTCATCTCCTGCAGCTGGCGATCAAACTCCTTCTGCAAAGACTCGCGCGACTGCGCCCTGGAAGCCAGCATGGACGGTGAAACTAGGTCGCAGCGCATGCTTGGTGTTTTGACAAAGATAAAAGCCCACAACACGCACTGCAAGGCTTCGACGATACATTGCTGCTCACGCAGCATGTCTCGGGCATTGTTTGTTTCCTGTTCCTCGCGCCGGCGCTGGTGTTGTAGCGACTGCAGTTGCTCCTGCAAGTTGGCCATCTGCGACGAAATCCAAAAGGTGGTGAAGCGACGGATCTGCTTCTTGCGTGCATTGATACAATAGTCCAAAGCTAACGATCGTACCTCCCATTGAAGATGGGCGTTCTTCTCCGCCATGACCTCAGCACGGTGCTGTGCGTCGCTGTGCGCAAGCTCCAGAGCATGCTGTGCGTCTTTGAACGCCTGTGACATCAAATCATGCCATAGAGATGGAAGTGAGGCTGGTTGGCAATGGCTTGGCTGCCAATAGGCAAGGTCAAGGGCCCGAAAGCAAGCCAAACCTCGGCCCCTGCAAGCTGCTTCTTGGCCTCGGTTAGTTCGCGGGTGAGTTGGTTGACATCTTGTACCAGCCGTTCGCGGTCCCGCAACATCAGTCGTTGCGCCTCGTCTGGGGAGGCAGACTCCTGTGTTGCAAAGGAATCAATGCGATGAGAAAGTATGGCAAACTTCATCTTGAGTGGCCAGCAAGCGCTTGCATGGGCAGGCCGCACTTCAAAAACACTCAGGTGGGCCTTGGTACGAGCGAGCTCGGTGCGTGCAGAAACCAGCTGCTCGTGCAGCTCGTGCATCTACGTGGTGCGCCATCACGCGTGTTGAGTGAGGCAAAATGCAGCTGCTTGGAGAGCAAGGTATTACACAGTGCTCTCCACTTAGGAAGAGGGTTCAGGTTGGACATACTTGACTAGCATCGCTTTCGCTGGCACTCTGCAACTCTATGGCGTTCACACAAGAGCCAGAAAAGGATTGATATCAAGAAGGGATGGGCCGTACAAGACGGGACAAGTGACTCCTCAAATCGACACAAATACGGCGAGTGGCCCAAAACGGCTGGTACAAGACAAACCAGCAACTTGGTGGGCCAGGCTGTCCAGATCGGCGCTGTACTGGCCCGCAACGACATCCAACTGCAGCTTGCAACGCTACGAGACACATCCAATGGCAGTGTAGTCCAATAACGCCGAGCCAACCCACAAGTGAGCGAGCTTGACAACACCAACGACAGGTGGGGCAAATACGCACGTTGACGGCTGTCTGGGGTCCCTGTTGCAGCGCATGCTTCGTGGCTGCGGGCAAGCGCCAGGTTTGGGGTGCTCGAAACAGGGTCTGCAAAACCTGTTGCTGCTCTTGCTGCAAGAATGCATGCCCATGTCACCAGGGTTTGCAACGGGGCCAAGGTTATTCAACAGAGCGACTTGACACTTTGAAAGCAGGCACAGCACAGCAAGTTGGAGACAATAGCGAACCGCTAGACGAGTATTTCGATCGCGTGTATTCTCGAGTTCTTGGCGCATTGCCTCCTAAACTCAACACAACGAAGGAGGTGGCGTATCAATGTTTGCGGATCGACGCAGGCTTCAAACAACAGCGACTTGCATGCCTGCGCCTGCGCCGGCTGACCTTGGCATGTGTGACGGCATCGATCTGCATCTCCGAAGCCACGAGCTCCTTCTCGAGCCGAGCTGCGCGTGCCTCTGCAACATGAACTTGTTTTTTCAATTCCTCAATACTCTCACGCAGCTGCAAAAAGCATTAAAAGGCATGATGTTCAGCTCATGTGAGTTGGTGGTTGAATGTACGTGAGGCTAGCCAGAAATCTGGGAGCGAATCAGGTGGGCGGCCGCACATGTTCAGCGTGTCGGCGTTGTTCTTCGCATTCGAGGTTGTGACGTTGCTGTATCAGAGCGGCCGTTGTGACGTGAGTGGTCGAGTTCGTAGGTCTTGACACAGGAGCTGAGGGTGAGAATGGCGCGACTTGAGCTCGAGGTTGGTGGCGATGGTTGGAATCGCGAGGCGGTGCGACCACAGCATGAACCGATCGGGGTTGATTGGTTCGTGCTGTCTGCCAGGGCCGTGATTGTTGCTGCTCGTCGTCCTGCATTCTCAGAGCCTCACCATGAGCACAGATGAAAAAAGCAGCAAAATGAGACAGCAAAACTTCTCGTACCGTATCAAAGGAGGTATTGGCGGAGTCGAGCTGCATGTCAGAGACCTCGCTGCTGGTCGAGGCTTCCAGGGCAGCGATTCGATCATCGGCATCGGCCAGAAAGGCTCTAATGATGCGCGGACCACACAGTCAGGGCGCGTCATGAGTCTTGTCGACGTCACCCAGCAATCGATAGAATCAACCACCCGTTCAAGCCCAAAGCCGCCACACCTCAGCCCCGCGAGCGCATCCTTATCGGCCAGCGCCGCCTGCGCCGGCTCGCCAGCCGCCTGACGCGCCATCTTCTTGTAACGGTCAGCTTGAGACTGAGACTGCAACAACAAAACACAACAACTGTTTTCTTGACAACATCATCTGCATGCTGACAAATGCTCTCACTCTCTCTCTCTCTCTCAAACTCTCTCTCAAACTCTCTCTCAAACTCTCAAACTCTCAAACTCAAACTCTCTCTCAAACTCTCTCTCTTCTCTCTCTCTGTTCTTTTCTTGACAACCGACAGGATGGCGGCGGCAGCTCGATTCGATTTCCAACCGCAGCTGGACGAGCTGCCCACTTTGGCACGAAAGGAGGTCCGCGACGTTTTGGCAAAATGGTGAGAGCTCTTGTTTGGAGTCATGAGATGTCGTATCCGGGTCGTGTCGAGCTCTCGCTGACAACACCACCAACAACTGCGCAGGTCGCTCGATCAAACGTTGCGAGGGCAGCGGTTTACCTTTGACCAGCCCTATCACAGCTATGACCTCGAGGCCTTTGTCAAGGTCTGTTTGAATTCCTGTTTGCTGGATGCATCTTGGTGCCAGGCTCTGACCGGCCGCAAATGCAGTCCTTCTTTGCCAGTCCGGCTGTGCAGCAGAAACTTCAGCTCCTCGCAACCGTCAACGGCTCCTGGGTGGCGCTCGGCCATGTCGAGGTACGCTGGCTCGTGTTGTCACAAGGAGCAATTCAGCAAGGGGCAAAACTTGGTTTTGGGGCATGTGCGACGCGGTCTTTGCGCCCGACTCTGAGCAAGTGGCTCGCGATAGGCGGAGAAGGTCGAGTACGAGCATGTCGCAACAGCGGCGTTGACAATGAGCTTCTTTGATCGCCTTTACGAGCACGGTATGTAAAGGTTCAATTGGACGCAATTCATTTGCCTTGCACCCTTTTGCATGCTTCACACATGCACGCCAATGCACGCCGCCTCGCCCATACAACCGTCTCACTTGTCTTGCCCACTGCACCTGGCGACTGGAAGAGATCATCCGGAAGAACGGTGCCATCAAAATGTGTGTGCCCGAATGGGTCGATGGTTACGAAATTCCGTCAGAGTTGGCCAAATGCCTGATTATGGCCGAAGACGAGAGCTTTGACATCTTTGATGAGGATGAGCGTGGCGAACTTATTTTCCAGCTCTTTACCCACCTTGTCTATGGCGGCCCTCTCAATCAGGTGGGTTAGCTGACTTCAGGCGTTTGCCGAGAGACTGGGGCAGTCAGCAAGCCAGTGTTCACATCACACAATGCACGCTAACATGGGATTCTGCACGTGCATGCATGAACTCTTGCGCCTCTTGTTACCACGACTCCAGTATGAGGACAGCATTGGACCCTACTTTGATACAACCCGAGACCTGTACAAAGATCTCGTCAGGTATACTGAGTGCCCTTTGCTTCACCTTTTGAACCCAAGTCGCTCGCTTTGGCCAGCGTCTTCTTTCGTTGTTGTTGTTGTTGTTGTTGTTGTTGTTGTTGTTGTTGTTGTTGTTGTTGTTGTTGTTGCTCATTCCGGGCCTGTATGTTTAGTGTGGCCCGAGATCCAAAAGGGGAACTCTACGTCAACTCTGTCTGTGTCAAGGTGACGGCGGTGGTGAGTCGCGTAGTGTTGGCTGGCTCGTGGTGCATCTTCTTCGTAAATGGTGCTGAATCGGTGATGCCACGCTTTGCTTATACGGTGGTCGACAGGACGATCGACCTCTGTTCCCCACAACACACCCCGTGCAGAACGCTCTCTACCTAATCATCAACCCGGGCAAAAAGACTGTCAATGTACTCTATAATGCCTGGTGTGGCAATTAATTCGCTGCGCGAAAGATACAGGACTCTTGCGCGTGACATTGGCAGCGTTGCAATAAACTCGGGTGTCCCTGTGCAGAGGCTACAGACGAGTACATCGAGACACGCAGAGAAAAGGCACCAATTCTTCGGGAGGCTGACCACGGAGAACAAAAAAAACAGAGGAGAGCAAACACAAGTTACGTGCAACACATCTTTCAGACAGGCCAAAAAAAAAAAGAAAACAAGCACAAGCAAAAGGAATCGAGACATGGACAAGACATGCAAAGATGGTAAACTCGAGAAGGTTTGAGCAAGGGATGAATCGAGGGGATGAAAACGAATAGACAAAAGAACCAAAAACGGAATCGAGCTTTTTCCAAGACTCTTCAGGGGTCAAGCAACATGACTTGTTGACTGTGTTCTTTACTTGAGAACGCTTGGTGCACGGTGGCGGACCTGGAGAAGATTTTGAAAATTGAGCGAGAAAATGAGAAAAGTCGAGAGCCGTTGTGCCATGACTGTAGCACACGGCCTGCAGCGCGTGACGTACCATCATCGACTGAGCCACGCCAGCTGGCAACTGAAGACCCAGCTTGGACATGAGACGGTTGCGCAACTGCATTCGCGATTGCGGCTTGACGAGACGGTCCTCATAAACGCTTTCCTCTTGCTTAATTTCGGCGGCACTTTTGGCAGCTACACGCAGGTAATTTAAAGGGTCAGTACATCGCTCGTAATGCTTTGGCTGACATTGTAGCCTGAACGCGGTGCAATGCCACCATACCATCTTCAATCTGCTGACGGACTTGCGCACTCAAGTTGAGCGGGCCCGTCTTGGCCGCATCGTCCAGGTACAAAAGGACACAGGTCATCAGTGCCAGGCAAATGCAAGCACAAAAGAAGACCTCGAGCCACAAGTAGCCCTGCCACGTGGTGGATGGGGGGGAGTGCAAGATGGTAGCGTGAGATTCCAGGCTGGTCTATCGACGTTTTTGGCTGCGGTCGATGGGACCGGCGTGTGAACCGACCTTTGAGTCCATGATAAGGCCAGAGACCATGCTGATCACGGCAAGACCCAGATTCTGGACAGCCTGCATGAAGCCGTACGCCGTGCCAAGCTGATGCTCGGGGACGATATAGGCCACCATCGGCCACAGCGCGCTGGCCAACATGGAATAGGCAATACCCATGATCACCACGGGTACAAAGGGGTTGATGAACGTATATGCAAGAAGTGCATGTGCGCCGAGCGTCGTGGCGATGGCCACCAAACACTGCAAATGCCATGCCCACCAAACCCAAGTCAGTCAAGAGCAAGAAGAAAAAAAACATTGACTGCCAACAAGCCACTGTCTCAAAAAAAAGAGACCGCCCAGGCCCTCTTGAAACATGAAGTCAAGAAACGTGGTGGCGAGTGAGAATGAAGGCATGCTTGGCCTACCCAGGTCAGATTACGGCCCAACAAGTCCACGCCGTAGCCAAAGAGTGGGGAAGCCACGGCAGAAATGGTATATACTAGGCTGTTGGCGGTTGAGGCGGTGCCAGCTGGCAGGCCAAACTTTTGTTCATACAGTGCCAAGGCGAGGCCAATAAAGGGGAAAATGGCCACATCTACAAGGCCGCAGACAAAACAAGGTGGTAAAGCCCACCAAGCAAATGATATTCAGCAACATTCCAGCCACCGTCAAATGAACGAAGAGGCGTGAGCAAGAAAACGTGCGGGCCCAACGCGCTTGTCCCCAAGGGAAGGCAGGGAAGGCTTGGAGCAAAGAAGGGAGTTGAAGCAAGGGGGAGAGGGGACGCACAGTAGGCAACGCAAACGATGGAGATGAGCCAGAAGCTGTAGGGGAAGGAAAGAATGTCCTTGAGCTGAATCTTTTCGCCCACTTCAGCGGCGCCACGCCCCAAAATCCGTTGCGCTCGCTACAGATCAATGGCAAGCGATACGTGTCATGATCAGTGGGGACCATTTCCACCTGTTTTGGTCAAGCCAAGGCCATGGCAAGGCGAGGAAACTTACGCGGTCCAGAAAGGCAGCAGCAAAAGCAGTGAGCAAGCTAAAAATGCAAAGGGCGGCACCAACCCAGAGGGCGGTACCAAGAACACGGTGGCCGCCCTCGCCATCGCCAATGGCGTTGTAAATGGGCTATGAAAGGAAGGCAAAGAGAGGACACCCGGGTGAGAGAACATGGGAGGCGTGTGGATAGAGAAGTGCCGCTGGGGCGGCGCAAGCTCAACGTACACCCATGGTGATCATGTTGACAGTGCTGCCAACACGACTGAAAGAGAGTTGGAGACCAAAGACCATGTTTAGTTCACGGCCCTTGAACCATGACACGGCATAAGTGTTCTGGGCCACGGCAAGGTTCTCGCCACCGAGACCGAAGATGAGGCGACCGACGAGAATGAGGGGGTAGCTTCCAATGGAAGCACCGACCGCGCACACACACTACTCGCGATCAGACACGGGGTGGGATCATGAAGGGCATGAGGACGAGATGCAAGCATGCTGGAAGTGCTCCTGTTTAGAGGGCCGATAATGGGGCTGTGCGAGCCCAAAGCCACGAGAGCAAGCGTGGCCGCGGCACGAATGAAGCCAACCTGTCCTGCAGCGACGAAAGAGGCAAAGAGAATGGCGCTGAGACGGAGACCAAGAACCTGAGGAACCACGGGGTAAGCGACAAGTGAGGAAGAAGAATAGAGTTCAACTTCAAAATCAAGAGTGCGAGAAGGGCAGGAAGCCGTTAATGATGCTCGATGAGAGAGAGGGTACCTTGTCCATCAGAAACCCGCCAATGAAGCAAAGGACGACGTTGGGCCAGGAGTAGAGGGAGTACATGAGCACTGTGAGCGAGAAGCATGCGTTTGAGGGTTAGGGAGGCTCGCATGAGTACGACTGTCATGGCTGGAAAGATCCGTCTTGTTTCAAAGTCCACGCACTAAATTGACTGGTGTTAATGTCCATATCCTACTCCACAGAACGACATGAGCAGATGTCAAAACCCATGACCAATCGGACCAAGCGCGTTCGGGTGGACAATGCGCACTCACCTTTTTGAACTGTGACTGAAGCGCGGCGGGGTTGTCATAGACTATCAGCATCAAAAGCGGCAAAATTGGTTAAGTCGTGTTTGAAAGTGGTGCAGGCTGGGGTGATCCAGGCCGAGGGTAGGCAAGCTGGAGGTGGCAAGGCTCACCAAAGTAGTTGCCAAAGGACAAGAAGCAGATCAGAAGAAGAAAGATGAAGCTAACGGGACGGGCCAGCATACGGGGTTAAGGACAAGTTTTAAATTCCTGTAAGCCCAAAGGGGGCGGCCGAGGAAAGGAACGAAAAGTGGTTCCAGTTGAGCACGACGGACCGGTGGCTCCAATGGACGGGATTGCAGGCATTGCAGCCCTCGTAGACAAACTCATCCTCGCTGACGACGCTCTGGTTAGAGCGAGAGCTTGTCTGCCGCTCCCGCGGCTCGGGCGGCAGCAGCCGATCTGTGTCCTTGTCCATCCCTAAGGTCCCTTGGCCAATCAGAGCAAGCAGAGCATGTGCGCAATCAGACCGACCAAAGCACCAGGATGCGGAGAACCTCTAACGAGATGGACCACCAAGACACCAGGAGAGGGGACAGGAGCAAAGGCATAGAATCAAGTGCGGGCATGAGCAGCCGAACAACATACCTTTGCAGCTTGAACGCCTGACGCGCACGCGGGGGGCCGATGTCTCTAAAGGCACAACGACCAACAACGAGCTCGGTTGAGAGAGAGAGACACACACACACGACGACGGGGAGGCGCATCCCATATCACCCTGGTCACTTCTTGCATGCAACCCGCTGCCCCTTGCCTCTTCCACTCCTTGCACTATCCCTGTCAATGGCCTACCCCCACGCCCCCATCTACCACGGCGGGCATCAGCAAGCCCGGGCGGTCGATCCATCGCCGGTTGCGGGCTGCCGTTTCACTTGACCCCCGTCAAGCTCTCTCTCTCTGTGCATGCGTGTGTGATTCGGTCAAGCGCTTTTAACGTACCAGACTGCGTAGACGTGTGAGTGGGAACTACAACAATGGCTATCAAACAAAAGAAAACAGCAAAACCACATGGAGTGCGGGTTTTGGAGCGTTAAAACACATCTCTCACTGCTTTCGCCTGCTGTGGCTTGACCCGAAGCTCATGGCTGCTTGAGAGGTGCTTGACCGACCCTGACCTGACGTACAGCTCTGGCCTGGTGTTTGATGCGATCATTCTGGCCAAAGAAGACGCTGCAGTCCAGTGCTGGCCGAGCGCCTGAGCGGAGGAAGCGCCTCTCCTCATACAGCAGCCGGCCCGAACGACCTCTACCTATTACGTAATTCCCCGTGTGTGTGTGTGTGTGTGTGTGTGTGTGTGTGTGTGTGTGTGTGTGTGTGTGTGTGTGTGTGTGTGTGTGTGTGTGTGTGTGTGTACGTGCGTGTGTGCATCATGTGTGTGTGTGCATCATGTGTGTGTGTCATTTCTTCTTCTTCTTCACGCGTGTCTACAAACACACACGATGACGCAGATGATGATGGCAGCGGTGGCGGCAGCAATGATGGCGGTGGGCCTGGTTGGGGCGGCGCCAACCAGGGCAGAGGCTCCTTCGAAACCAGTCATTCCATCAGCTTTCATTTCGTCGTTTGAGTTTTACAGCAGTGGCGTTTATGGAGGTACTGGTCAATACTATTACGACGCTGACGCTCAGGTCGGTCACGCATCACTCCGTTGCCCCACGAGGCTCGGGCCTGGTCTACGCCGAGGCCGATTGAGCGGTGGCATTGACATTGCTTCATGCCTGGCCTTTTTTTTTTTTTTGGCGTTGATCGGTGGGGGGGGGACGCATAGAAAAACCATTACAATTTGACAGTGGCCAACCCCTTCTTCCCCGCCCAAGCCGTTCCCTACGGCTACTTTTACAGCGAGGTTGGTGCATCACCTCCTTCCCTTTTGCAGCCTCAGATCCCAACCCCCTCTGCAAGCTTTTTGCATTGCACCCCGTATTCAAACTGGTTATTAAATGCCAATGTACTTGACCCATACGCTTCTCGGCAGGCTGGGGCTTGGATGTATATCGAAGGCATCTGCAAATCTCTGGGCACCAAGTTTGCTCCAGTCTTCAGCTTTGTCCAAAGTCCGGCCACCACATATCAAGGATCAAAGACCGTCAATGGCCGTGACTGCGACGTGTGGGGCCTCACCACTGCCCAGGCCAACCTGAGCGTCTGCACTCAAAACAGCGTCCTGGTCGAGTTCATATCCGAGAGTCAAGTTAGCACAACGGTTTGTGCCGCAACCTCACTTTCCCTCTTCCTGCAATGCGCTTGAAAAGCAAGCAAAATGTACAAACCACAAACCATCAAACTCACGGCCTGTTTCTTCCCTTGGCGGGCAAACACTTGGTTTCTTGTCGACCTTGCCGAGAACAGCACTACATGACGCGCATGCTCTTTGGCGATGATTTCAATCCCAGCAAGCCAACACCCGCAGAGCTGGCCGTGCCCGAGGCTTGCTTTGAGCCCCCGGTCGTGTGCAATGCCACCAACCTTACAGCCGAAACCATGGACGTCTATGCCTTTCAGCCCAAGAATCAAACCGGCAACATCGTCGACCAGGTATCACATGTTTCTTTCCGCAACGAATGAGTATTGGCTGGCCTCGGCAATGTCCCCATCAGCTAACCCTGTTTTGTGATTGGCTTTTTCTGCATCGCTGCATGCTGCATGTTCATCACTGTTTTGCTGCTTTTGCAGGATGTCGCAGATCTGCGAGGTGACACCGTCTTTGTCTGCTTTGACCTCCTGTCCAACAATACCGCCAATGATCACTACGCCGTTGTGACCAACTACAAGATCAATGTCATTCCCAAGTGGGGCCTGTACCGCGAATGCAACGGCTACCCGCCCTATTGTATTGGTGATGCCATGGTCGAAGTTGGGCGTGAGAGCTCCATCTCCAAGGGCCCCCTTCGTGGCCAATGCGAACCGAACCTGGACTACGGCAGCTGGCTGAGCATGCCGAGCATGGGCTATTGCCAGGATGGTCCGCTGGACCTGGCCAAAAATTGTTCTTGGCAAGTTGCATCAGTAGGCAAGACCATCTCGGGGGCCTGCCTCATCGAAAACCCGGCTTTCCTGCAAGCCTGCTCCCAGATTGTCAATGGCAGCATCGATGCTGCAGTCGATCTGTTCAAGGCCGCCTTCGACTCGGAAGACCCGTCCAAGAATGGTTGCCCTGCCCTGTAAAGTTTGAATGCAATGTATGACATGCCATTTTCTTTTCTTTTTGGGGGCTCTGTTTCACATGTATTTGTTTTCTATCTTTTCCTTGTCGAGCCCGTGCTCGCCCCAGCATCATGTCTGCTCCGAATCGTCTGGCTATGATCATGGCGGAAATTGATTGAGTTTTTTTTTTTTTTTCCTATTGCAACCTAGTCGGTTTTTTCTATTATCTGGTGTCTCTTGGAGACCATCATGGGCCCGCATGGCCCACTATGCGGTGCAACTCACACCATACCCGGCGAACAAAATCTGGACATCCTCAACAGGAAGTTGGAGGTTCAAACCTGATCGGCTCAAGCCACCGTGTCTAGCGAAAAAAAAAGGATATCGAGTCCAAGCATCAAGAAAGTAAGGACGAGGGTCGGAAAAAAAAGTCTGCCCAAGCAATGTGACAAATCCGGCCCAAGGCAAAGCCACGCCTACTCACCGGCAATCGCGGAAATAAGCTCATAATTTTCCGGTGTCGTGCCTACTTAGACAAGTTGGTTGACGCGTGTTAGCCAAAGCATGCAAAGTAGGGCACACAAATGATAATAAGCTTGGGTGAGAACGCACTCAGCACGCTCGGGCTCGCAGGACAGCTAAAGGGTCCTTCACGACGCATCATATCCAACAGTTTGGCTTGTTGATACAGCTCAGCGAGCGTGTCCTCGAGGACTTGCACTTGCAGATCGTAGGGCAACTGAGCATCTGACGCCGTCCGGAATCGCTCCAGCATCTGCTCCACGGCTGCTGCTGGTTGAAGGGGCACCATCTCCGTGCGATCTGGCGTGGGGTCATGCGCAAACGATGTGTCCCATTCTTCCTCGGAAGATGTCGACGCGATGAGCTGTCGCGTGCGCCGTACGTAGCGTGTACATTTTCCCCTATTGAGCCCGCCACATGCCCAAAGTAGAACAGGAGGCCGAGTGTCAAGAATTTGAAGGCAACGGCAGCAGCAACCAGCAACCAGGAAGACCATACCGGTCGACATCAATCACTAGCGCCACGGCGCAACCACACCCATCTGTGTCATCCAGGGCATAGCGAGCCTCGGCCAAGAGGTCTTGCTCCAAAGCAGCTTCGTCAAGTTCGGGAATGCCTTGCAAAACAGGACCGGAAACGTAGGCTGGACAAGCTGCACAAAGAAGTGATCGCCCGAGGCTGACGTGATGCACAAAATCATCCTACGCACCCCACGTAGGGCGCCGGCGAATCATCAAAATTAAAGTACATGAAGAAACCGGTTCGTTTGGCCGCGGTTCATAGGCAACAAGTGCACTTTGAACAGCCACACCGTGTCACCCGCGTTAGCGTCGGTGCCTACCTCAGCAAGCGGGCGTCGCTTGCCAGACGCCTGCATACGTTCCTCCATGGCAGCCTGAGTAAGATCCGGTTTGACCTACAAATCCAAGAGGACCAAGCATCAGTGTGCGCGCCTGCTCATTAAGGGCAAGTATGGGCCAAGCCAGGTCACCAACTTTCAGGCTCATGGTCTGTCGCAGGGGAAGCTCCTCAAACAGCGGAGGTTGTGGGGATTGATCCACGAGCGGCGCGTCAACAACGTCGGGCAATGGCGCCTGAGCTGATGCCAACTCGGCTTGGCGGGCCCATTGAGCAATATGTAGGTCACGGCGAGCCGAACGAAGACCGGATGAGGCTGTGGAAACCGGTGCCTCCTCGTCATCAGATTCTAGCTCACTGACGGCAGGGCTAGTGGCGCGTTCTCTTTCCGATTGGACCTCGGACTGTTCCGAGTTGAGTGCAGCGCGTAAGTCGAGCAAGTCACCATCCAGACTGCGATCAGCAGCCTTGTGGTCTGGGGTCGAGGCCGAATGTGAAGCCATAGGTACCAGAGCATCGTCCGTAGTACCGGTGAAGCTGTGAGAGGTCGCAGATGGAGCCCCCGAGCTTTCAGCTCGCGGTTGGGTCACAAAATGCAGGCTCTCATCGCCCGGTGCCTCCCTTGGGATTGAAGACACACGAAGTTCTTCACGGCCCCCCAGACTCAGATCTAGCCGCAGTTCTGCCGGGGTCAAAGCATAGCGTTTGCCCACAATATCCACTTGGAATACCTGAAAAGAGCACGAGCGGTGGCCGTCAGGACACCAGGCGTCGACTCGTTGACGGGATACAACGCCTTGTGCCTGCCCTTGCTGTCCCAAAGATAGATGGCTCACCTCGCTGCAGCGAAGAAAGTAAGATAAGACGTAGACCAGGCGCAGAACGAGTGTTGCTGTACGACCAACAACAATGGTTTTGCAGCGACTGTGACGTGCGACACCCGTTGGCGACCGCAAACGTGCAGTGAGCAGGATGACAGACAGCGGTGGTCAGACGGTGATGCGAAAGACGAATGACAACTTGATGGACCCGAAAAACAGCAGTTCGCAAGAGTGCGCCAGCCGACCAACCGATAGTTACGCGAAACGCTGCCGCAGAGATCCGTCAGCTGAGCCCAGAGGGTGTCATAGGGATGTTGCTTGGCCAGATCGTTGAGGGCACCTGTCCACAGCCATTGCAAACATGAGCATGATAATGACTGACTTACATGCCTGTGCGGCGCTTTCAAACATGAACCAGGTTTGGTGCCAACGCACGTGGCATGCAAGGAGTAAGTTGATCGGCGTCAGCGTCCAACGTGGGAGCCGCTGTGGCGACCCAGCCTAGGTGATGTTGTAGCACCGCCGTAATCGCCGTTGCCAACACGCGCTTTGTGCGCCTAGATTTGCCGAGCTGCCAAATATTTGCAAGCAAACGGTCCGTACGAATGCTGAGGATAAAGCGGCCAAGATGGAACTCGGCTTGCCAGTGGGAGGCAAACATGACTGGGAACACAACGCGGCTGCGCAAACCTTGAGAATGAGATCTCGCAGAAGAAGACAAAGTTTGCCCCGCACGAGCGGGCGTAATTGGGAAAACGTTGACAGCGTCAACCAAGCTGGTTCTTGTAGTCTACAGGAGGGTCCCGGTACGAGGGATCCGTGGCAGTGAGAGGTCTTTACACGCGAGATACGAGGTAGGAAGAGGCTAAGATGGTCACAATTTCATTTGCTCAAAGCGTCTCGGATTGGAACCCGTGTTTGGCCATCTGACTTTCGGGGCGCACAAGTTGGAGCAGTGCTCTCTTACCGCGGCGCCGTATAGAGAGTATGCACTTGGTGAATGAGGAACCTGATGCGTTCCGTGACCTGTCGACTTTCGCGAAAACGTCGAGCCACCCGCTTCAGCAGCACACGCCTATGCACATTCGATGCAAAAGACCAAGAGGCCAAAAGGTTGGTGAATGAACAAACACGGATCACGAGAAGAGAATTGTCAATGGACCGTACGCTGTGTGGGGAGCCGGCTGGGCTTGGCTTCGCAACTAGAGGCGCGGCGGAATGGGGAGCAAAATCAAGGAAGAAAAGTTCAAAGGTGAGGCACGAGTGAGGTCGACGTGGTACAGCCCTGTCAAGCACAACTGGAACCGACCTCTTCTTCCACGACAAAGAGCAGGCGCTCTTGCAGCCAATGAAAGAAACCCGTCAAGGTCATGTCAAGAATTGCAAAGTGGGTTGTCACAAATTTCTGCACCATTTTTTTTTTTTTTTTTTCATTTTGTTTTGTTGTTTTCAGTTGAACAACGTGCCCATGTTCAAACAGCCATGAGAACAACGGCTTCAGCGCGGCAATCAGCCGGCCTAGTGTAGAGAAGAGCGAGTCGAGGCAAGGGGGGGACAAGCATCGCAAACAATGTGGGGCGAACAAACCTCGAGGATGTCAGAGCGATCAACATCAATGATCAAGGCAATGCCACAAACAGTTGCTTTAGAGGCTAAGAATTAGAGCAACAAGAGCTGAAACATGAGTGGGGCTATACACTTTCAACGCACGCTGGCCCGTTTCAGAGAGAACGAGGTAACTGACCTTCCCCGGTTTTACTGCGCATGCCAAACTCAAGGCTCAAACGCTGGCTGCGCTCGTAGCGTCGCATTCTAGAAATCCGTCAGTAGCCAACATGACGAACACGGGTGAGGTTCTCAAAGACGCATGGTGCGTTGTCCGGCCGGACACGGGGTGGAAGCGGGAGGCCGCGACACACCGGCCGCTGACATCGAGCATGGAAGATAGGGATGACGAGTGCGAGGGGGTGCCGGAAGAGGTGAAGCTTTCATCGGCATCCAGTGTCTTGATGGGGGATGGCAAGGCTCCGGGAAAGAAATCGCTCATCTCGGCCAAACTGCGTGGAGAGTGGGGTGACTCCAGATCGGTACTGGTGGCGTCGTCAAAATCCAAGCGTTGGGGCTGGGCCGATCGGCTGGCTGGCACTGCAACGGCTGAGTCCAAGAAGAAGACATCAAACAACGGCAACGGGTTTGCGGGAACCAAATATATCAGAGCGTGGGACCCAACACGACAGGCAAAGCAATCAAAACCAGTGCCCCTGAGCTTCGTCCCCCCCCATATTGAGTCAAGGGTCGGGCCTCGCACCTGGTGCCGCGGACTCGGCAGCTTCGCTCAGAGGTTCCGAAGAGGAAAAGCCAACTGCGAGAAAGGTGCAAGGGGTTGGCATGCAAGCTTTGTGAGTAAGGGTGCTTGACCGACTAATGGCTCGACCAAATGCACGTGCAAGCAGAGTTGCTACGCACATCGCTGGGCAGATCGTGGGACACCGCTTCCGCTCCGACGAGGGGAGGCTGGAACGGAACTCGGCGCGGATGCGCCGCCCACATTCATCAAAAGATTTTTTATCCTGTTGCCAGCGCAAAGGGTACACGTGTTGAGACTTTGGCCCCGAGTTTCCCTTGGCGGGCTGGGTGAGAACATCCGTACCGTTTGGTAGGGTACAGCTTGGTTAGCACTACACGCTTGGGATCCTTGAGCAGGTGCATCTTGGTGGTGTGGTGTGAGAGAGCCAAAGGAAGAGAGCCAAACATCATGTTCTGCAGGAGCTGATCCTCGCGGACCTGTGTGCAAGGACGACAAGTCATGCATACCGCGACCAAGCAACGGACATCTGAGCCAGGGTAATGGTAGGGTGTTTTCCGATCAGCTGGACGCTTACGTGAGACTTTTGTGGGCGACGACTGTCATAGAGAACCTGAAGGCAGCATCCGAGAGGCGGGTGGCAATGGGAGCACCAGTAGCGGGAAGTCAGTCTTGTTTGTGAGCGGGGTACGCAGCATGACCCGCGAGTTTACCCCCAGCTGTGGCTGGGCGGATGCACTCACGTCACGGCCAAGATGCTTTGCATCGTGCAAAAGTACGACGGCGGTTTCAGGAGGTTGAAGCAGCTCCGAGCGCCATTCGCAGGGATTGATCAATGCCTGGGAGGGGACACGAGCACAATGATGACGTTGTGGCATGAGATTTAGCCATGGGCCACACGAAAAGGCTGGGTGATGTGATGGCTGGTTTGACCAACCTCGAGCCCCATGGCCTCGGCGTTCCACGTATAAGACCGCCCCGCCATGGCGCCGTGTGAGCAGCTGAAAGAAACCTGCTCATCAAAGGGCAGCAGCAAAGGAAGCCCGACAGCAGCCCCCCACTACGGCATCAACCGCCCCGCCTGTCGACCGCACATGCTGGCCGCCACCTCCACCCACTGGTCCTTGCCAAGCAGGGCGTGCGGGGACACAAGAGCACGACACGACAAAAAAATTTTGGTCAAATGCAACAAGAAGTAAAATACAAAAAAAGAAGAAAAGAAGAAGAAGAAGAAGCACAGAGTAAAAGTAAAATACTAAGAGAGAGAAGAAAGATCGAAAGGCATAAATAGCAAAGGCACAGAGAGAGAGAGAGGAGACACACACACACACACACACACACACAAAACGGCTTTGGTAGTGTGAGAATAGCTACCAAGTGAAAGTGTGAATATTTGGGCAAAATTGGGTGAATTTCCAGCGATTTCTGGACCAAGAGCGAACTGGGGCACATCTTCTTCCGATCTGACATCAACTTCTTGCCATATTAAATACGGTTTATTAGCTATAAAAATTGTCATCATCTTCAACTTCTTCTCATATCGCGCCGTCTTCTTCTCAACTTGGGAGCTGTTTGGGGAATTTCCGTTGCAGGTGATACAGAAAAAAGTGCGCGCGCGCCTCGTCGGTCGCGGCTGCTGCCTCGGCACTGACTGCCGCGCGGGGGGAGGTGGCCTTGGACATCAAAGCGTCACGCGTCAAACGCCTCACGCCACGCATACACTGGTGGTGAAGTGTTTGTCTCTGATCCCCTGTTCGGGTGGTCGCTGAACTGACTCTCGCCACTCAATAGCTGGGTCATATCCACACGTACATCAGGCGCCGCAACCTGTGAACACCTCACTGAACCCTCCGTGGTGGTGCTGCACGCACGAATTAGATCCAAGTGTAACCCTGTCCATCTGCACCCACTTGTTGGCGTGCGACCAAGCACCGCTGGACTTTGAGCCAAGCCACCATCAACTCAGGTCCGCCGTGATTTGCCAGCCCAGTGGCAATCAGCCCGCAAACACAAACAAACACAAACACACACCACCCACACACACGTACTGGCCTGTCGATGACGGCAAACCGCCTCCGCAACCACAGTTTGCCAGCTGATCGCCAGTCCTGTGTATAGGTTCCAGCAGCACTGTATTTCCTCGACAACGGCACCATGGTCTCAGATGCCAAGGTCTGGTTCACGCAGCCCCGCTTTCAGCTTGTCCCATTTCATGCTGCGAGCGCATTCTCTGGACCCTGCGTATCGTAAACAGGTGGAAGGTGATTGAACGTTCGTTGCATTCCATCGTCTCAGGCTGAAAAACTGGCGACCTGGATCGGCCGTCGGGTCCGGATCAAGGACCGCGGCGCTGGAACCCTGGTTTTCTGGGGGCCGGTCGAACACACTGAGTACGTGAAACACCGACCCCGCAACCACCTCCATTCTTGAATCGCCGCTGCCTTTGTCAGCCGAACACACAACATCCGGCACCTCATCTCATACCTTGCTTCTCCGCGTGACCTTGATCACGACTGACAGCAAGCATCTGGCTGGAATCGTTCTGGACGAACCCACGGTGCGGCGGCATTTGCTCCCTCTTTCGCTTGCCTCAACCCATCTGCTCTCAAATTTTTACCTCTCATTCGTGCGCAACCCCGTTTACGTGTTGTAGGGCTTAAATAACGGCACTGTGCGAGGTGGGTTTGCGTGCCGAGACTGGCACCTGTCCCCTCGAGGATTTTTTTTTTTTTTTTTGTTCTTGTTTTTTTTTTTTTGCTCTTGATTTTTTCTCTCTCTCTCTTTTTTTTTTTTTTTTCTCTTTGCTCACAGAGCCTTTTTTGTTCTCAAATAGGCGTCAAGTATTTCGAATGTGAGCCCAAGCATGGTGTCATGGTGACGGGTGCCCAGGTCATCTTCCTCAAGTCCAAGGTTGGTTGGAGAAGCTCACCCACCGCTTGACTTTTGCGCAGACCATGACTTGAGTTTAACAAGACATTGCTCTGAACCCCGTCTCCTTCTTGACATAGGAGGAAGCATCTGCCCCAAAGACAGCAACTCGAAAGCCCGTCGCCAAGGCCTCGCCGGCAGTGACTAGAAAGGCAGCCCCTACTAAGAAAAGTTCGCCAGCCAGCAAGGTTCCGGCCACGCGCAAAGCTTCCAACCCTTCCGCCGCAGCGAACCGGGTTGCTTCAGCCCGCAAATCATCGGGGACCACACCCACACGCCGGTCAGGCCTGCTGCCTCGCTTTCACAATCCAACGGTGCTTGCCAGGGCCATTTGCACCCGTTCTGCACTCACCGCCGTGCCCCTCCTCTTGACCGCACAGTGAGCCCGCGGCCAAGACCAAGTCCGCAACCAAAAGCCCCGCTGCCGCTCGCCCCACCTCTGGTAAAACGGTAAGTAACACTCTCATGTGCACACAGCTGTTTGATCCAACTTGTGTCTGACCAGCCCTACTGCTTGCTCTACCCCCATTGATATCGCGCCCCCGCCGAGATAGACCACGCCCGCCCGACGAACGAGCGCCCCACGCGTAAGCTGTTCATGTTTTCCTGTTGTGGCTGCTCTTGCTGCATATTTCAAGACAGCCAGCATGCTCCCGACATCATCAACAAGTTGGGGATGCTAATCTTGGGGTTGCGACCGGCTCGGCTTGATTGATTCTGGTCGAATACTCGCTAGGCAACATCTGCAACCAAAAGCAGCCCCAACAAGACGACCGCCAGCAGAACAACGCCTGGCAAGGCGGCCCCCAGGCGTGCCAGCGGGAACCCCAACACGATTCCCAAAGCCGCATCCACCAAACCCCAGGGTCAGTTCTTCGCGCCCACCAGCGCCAGTCCATGCAGATCACTTTTTGAATGCGGCAAGCTGACCCGCTCGCCGCTCTAGTCATTGTAGGCCGAAACAAGGGCAAGGCCTCTTTGTCTGACCTTGCCCGCTCCACCCTTGAGGCAGAGGTGCACGGCACCAAGCGTAACGGTGAGCTCTGGCCATGCTGCGCTCCCAAAGCACTTGAAAGCTTGGTCTCACCCTGGATTGTGCACCTCTGGTGTTGACTGCTGCGGTCCCACAGAGTCTGAGGTAAACGCCGAACCAGAGGTGAACTCAGAGCCTGAATTGGTCCCTGACGTGGAAGTGGAGATCCACCACGAGCCCGAACCTGAGCCTGAGGCTGACAATGAGCCGACCTTGGAAGCAGCAACCGAGCATGAACCCGAGCATGAACCCGAGCATGAACCCAAGCATGAACCCGAGCATGAACCCGAGCATGAACCCGAGCATGAACCCGAGGTAGCAGAGCAAATGCCTCAGCAAGAGCAGGACGACGATGAAGGCCAGGACCAGTTTGACGCAAGCATGCCTGCCAAGGTACATGCGCCTTTATTTGTCGGTTTGCGGTTTTGCCGTTGTCGTGCTTCGGTCGTTGGATTTGTTATGATTTCGAACGGGGATGGTGCCACCACCCGTAGCCTACAGCAGAGCCACCAGACGCCGTGTGTGTTTCTCTAATCAACGCAAATACCCGTTTCATCGACTGTGCTTGTTAGCCCACGGCCACAGCACCCGGGTTGACGGCGGCCGAGGAGGCCAAGATGAAGCGCCGTCAGCGTCGATCACCTGCCACATCGGATGCTGCGTCCGACGGCACCACCGAGTCCAATGATCAGGCGCCTTCTACCTCTGCACCCACCTCCACACAAGAGACCAAGGCCAAGCCTGAAGAATCCCTGGCCCCGGCATCCCACACACAGTCTGCAACCCCCCAAAAACCAGCTTCCAGTGCCTCCACAAGCTCTACGCCCAAGGTGGCCACACCCACCTCGGTACCACTGACGCCGTCACCCTCCGGCAAACCCCTTTTCCGCTCGGCGATGCGGACCTCCTTCCGCAAGAGCTCACCCGCTGCCTCTCCAGCAGCATCCAAGTCTGCACCTAAGACTACTTCTGAAGCTCAGCAGCCTGAAACGAACGTCGCGCCTGTCGTAGAGAAGGTGGCATCCCCACAACAGCCAAAGGTGGAGAAAAAGGCACCGCCTCCAGTGGCGGCACGACGACGCTCTTCGGACGCCGGTGCCCCGGCTCTGGCTCAGCCAGCGCCATCTCAACCCGCGACTGACGCAACCAGCGACGACAAGGACGAATCGGTGCCACGCGGTCTCAAGGCCAAAATGCATGCACTCGAGGCAAAACTTACAGATTCTGCTTCTTCCAGCAATGAGGCATCGCCACGTGTGCAGCGTCGCACTTCCACCGGTGCTGTGGCCCGACATGCGGCTCTGTATGATCAGTTGGAACGGGAAAAGTTTAAATCAGAGTACGTAGAACGTATATTGATGATGCAACTGTGGCGCACAAACACATGAATAGATGCAATCGCCTTGGACTCATGGTGCGCTGTGACCCCAGGGAAGCCACCGCTGCCACAGCATCCATGCAGCGATCATCCTCGATCCGCGATCGTCTTAAACGTGAGTTGGGCTGAGCACCTCTCTCCCTCCCTCCCTCCCCTCCCCTGCTCTTCTCTTCCCTATACACAGGTTATCATCTGATGATGGTTATGTGTGATTCCTGCATGACAGAATACGAAGCGGCCGTCTCCCCCAGTCAAGACGCCAAGGCTTACACGCCTCCGCACCATGAGCCGGGTTTGGGCCTAAAACAGCGAATGGAGGCTTTGGAGCGTCGTTCCCGCAACGCCAGCCTAGACAAGGATCATGCCGCAGTTGCTGCCCGCACCTCGATTCGGGAACGCATGAACGCACTGAAGACCTCAACCTCTGCGGTATGTACTCTCCATGCACTGTCACGCTGCTGCCCCTTTGCATGTGCCATTTGAGTGCGTACGCATGATTGTAAAATTGTGTGACATTGATGCATGTCCGCCACGCAGCAACCTGCCAAAGCGCAAACTGCGTCCAGCAGCCAGACATTGAAAGAAAAAATGGAGGCGCTGCAACGATACGCAAGCGGTGACCGCACCGACGAAGAGAAAACTGACGGGACGTCTCAGAGCAACGGCGATGGCGATGCACAGCCGGGTCTCAGTGCAGAAGAAAGCAAAATGGAACATGAAGCAAGCTCAGCCTCGGATGCGCACGAGGACGAGGCGGTCGAAGAGCATCAGGATGAACCAGAAGCACAATACGATGAAGACGAGGATGACCATTACGAGGCCGAGGAACTTGCAGATGATCATCATTCAGACGATGAAGAGTATGAAGATCACGACGAGGAGGCCGAGCACGAGCAGGAGTACAACGACGATCATGAGCACGAGCATGATGACGACCACGAGGACGACGAAGAGTCTGAGCACGAGCATAACGAAGAGTCTGAGCACGAGCATAACGAAGAGTCTGAGCACGAGCATAACGAAGAGTCTGAGCACGACCATGAACATGATGGTGAGGAAGACGAGGAGGGACAGGAAGACGAGGAGGAAGAAATGGATGACGAAGAGCGGGCATTGCGGGAGCGCATTGCACGACTGCAGATGGAAATGGACGAATTGGGTAGCGATGACGATGTTGATGATGTGGAGCTGAATGATGAAGACATTGCTGACCTCACTCCGACCACGCCCGTCAACAAGTCCAATCCCTTCTTGTAGCCTGGCTAGAGTGGAGTCGGTTCCAACATTTGCGGGACCTAAGTAATGATGTAGTCGAGGGACGAGTTGACCTCTGCCCCTGGAAATGTGTCCAAAGACATCCGTACATCCTGTTTTTGCCGTTTTTAGCCTCGCTGGTTGCTCATGTCGCATGTACTGGCGTGGCTATCCGTCCATTGGCCTATAGCTTGTGGGCCAACGAATTGAGTGTATCTACTGACCATGCTTTTGAGTGGTTGGGTGAACAGATTTGCAGCACCTCAAGTACTGTTTGGATTGTAAGGACGTCAGGAGGGCAAACTGTACAGTTTGTAAAAACATGATATGCCAAAGACGGCAGGATGCTCAAGACGAACACACACACACACACACACACACACACACACACACAACACAACACAACACGCACGCACGCACGCACACACACACACACACACACACACACACACACACACACACACACACACACACACACAAGAGGACAGCTGCCTCTTCTGACCCGATGTGCAAGCAGACAGACAGGCTTTAATCGAAATCAGATGGGTGTGATCTGGGGCGTCCTAAGTCTTGCAACGTATTAATATTGGAGTGTGACAAAGATGGCTGCCACAAGGACACAAATGAAGAGAATCCCGCTGGGCAAAACCATGGTCGCAGCATCCTTGTCCAAACATGAAAAACTCATGTGCAAGTCTGCAGGTTCGGTTCTCATAAACTGGTCGAGAAGGAGCAGCGTGGTGGCATCTAAAGAACGCCATGAACACAAGCTCTCGTCAGCACAACCAGCAAGCAAGGGATGAAATAGGCAGGCTCACAAAAATAGCTGAAAGTCGAGCGAAGATCGCTCAGACCAAGGTGGCAACACGTACTAGAAACGAGATCAAGGCCAGCCACACACTCGTCAGGGGGTACGGCGACGACAAAGTTGATGCTCTCACAATCATCGGTGAAGGCGGTGAGCACGACAGCATTGTCCAAGCACAACGCAGTAATCTTGGAAAAGACATAGAGGCTTGGATAAGTAAGACATTCCCCCGCAATTTCGTCGGCTTGTTCGCCATGACCACACTCGTAAGCGATGTTGATGCCCTGGAGTCCACCAAGGCTAATGCTCTGGTCGCAGATGGTTCGATGCATAGTGGTAAAAAAGGCGGAGCTCGTACACTGATCATCATTGTAGTAAGAGGTGATCGCACCCACGCTCTCGGGCAGCTTATACACACACTCTGGCACAAAGTAGAGCAGGCAGTCATCGGGCTGCAGCATATACTGATAGGAAGGCCCTATGCAATCGCTGCTTGAATAGAAGGTGAGGAGGACACTGCCATTGTTGAGGCATTGGTAGTTCATAAACCCCTCGATGAGGAAGGCACATTGACCTGGCTCGAAAAAGAGGATTCCATTGTCCGAGCCAAAATCTGGATGATCGTCGCTGACTTCGACCTCGCAGCGGCGCTCCAAGACCAAGTACGGGTCTTGCTGGATTTGAGCCAAGCCCGCTGTTATGAGCAAACCAAGCAAGCCAACAAGCGCCGGAATCTTGGCCATGCCTGGGGTAGTTGAGGGTGCCGAAGGATTCGTACGAAGTGCAGTGTGAGCGCGTACCAGGGATACCAGAAGCGCTATAGAACCTTGCACGCCCGATGCCTTACTCGTCTACTCACTCAGAGTGACTGCCATCTTTGTGCCCAGAACGACGATATGGTGGCAAAGGTGGCGACGGCAGGAAATCGTAGTCGAAAGGATCGACTTGTTGGAGTTTGCACAAACACCCAAACTCAGCAACAAGCCAACAGCCCAAAGGAGAAAAATGCCACTCCACCACCCGTCAAAGAGAGCGAGAGACCCAAGAAATCAGAGAGGGAGAGAGAGCAAGAGGGTCACAGAGAGGGTGTGCATGTGTGTGTGTGTGTGTGTGCGAGACAGAGACGAGCAGGCAGACACAGAGAGGGAGAGAGAGAGACACACACACACACACACAAGCGGAAAAATCGTGTCCGCAGTCTTATGTGGGACACGATCCCCATATGTTTGTGAAGGCTGCTGTTCGAATTGTGGGTTGGATTGGAAGTCATACCACTGTTTCGGGCTGGTGGTGCTCGAGCCGTGCTCGCTGATGACTCTGACTTGAGCAGGGGTTGCTACAACGGCGCACTTTCAAGGTGATGATGCAAACGGAGCGGGGAGAGATGAGGTCATCAAGGCCATAATACCAATGTTATTATCAAGGCCCGCCATCAGCAAGAAGAGCGCAGTCCCGAGAGAGATTTCCGACAACTTTTTGGATTATCTGGGATGGGAGCCTTCATCTCTTTCATCTCTCTCATCTCTCTCTCTCGCTCTCTCAAATACTCTCAAATACTCTCTCTCTCTCTCTCTCTCTCTCTCTCTCTCTCTCTCTCTCTCTCTCTCTCTCTCTCTCTCTCTCTCTCTCTCTCTCTCTCTCTCTCATCTCTCTCTCTCATCTCTCTCTCTCTCTCTCTCTCTCAAGCTGTCTCTGTTTTGTTTCGCAATGCTGATCTTATCAGCGGCATTGGTGGCCGTCGGGGCTGCGAGCACTGCGAGCGCGGCTTTAGCTGTGGGTGATCAGGAGCGAGCGGGTGACTCGGGTACTCTGGTGACAATTCCTCAAGGGCAGCTGCAGGGTGGCGTGCAGGACGGCGTGCGCTACTTTCTCAACGTGCCATTTGCCGCCCCTCCCGTGGGCGATCTGCGCTTACGGCCGCCACAGCCTCCCGGTGGCTGGGATGGGGTGCGAAACGCCACTAGCTTTGGCATGCGGTACGTGGACCCTCTTGCGGTGCTTGGTGGCTGCGGAATGCAGAAAGCCTCTCGGGTTGACGCTCGCCCCCCTGCCTCACCATGTGCCGCGCGCGCGATCAGGTGCATGCAAAACGGTCAAGGAAGCTCGGCCACCACCAGTGAGGACTGTCTCTACCTCAACATTTACACGCCCACAAACGCCAATGGCTCGCTTCCCGTGGCTGTTTGGATCCATGGTGGTGGCTATCAGGTTTGTCAATGGTTTTGTGCGTGCAACCAGAACAGGCATTCCTTCAGCGAGCAACGGCTGGTAGCGTCTGCATTGACCCGATCGTGCTGCGCGCTAAAACGATGCACGTGGTAGGGGGGGTCGGGTATCGACTACAACGGCACGGCCATGATCAATGCCACCGGTCACAACTTCCTCGTGGTCACAATCAATTACCGTTTGAGCATCTTTGGCTTTCTGGGCTCGGAGCGCTTGCGCCGCCGCGACCCCAGCCGCAACACCACTGGTACGACTTGGTCCCTGCCCACCTGCTCAGCCAAGCGTTGCGCCCAGCTTCCAATAGATTCACAAGCGTGTGCGCAAAACTCCCGTCCTGCACCATGCGCACAGGCAATTATGGGCTACAGGATCAGCGAATGGCCCTCGTTTGGGTCAAAGAAAACATTGGCGCATTTGGCGGTGACCCCGCCCGCGTCTCGATTTTTGGCGAGTCGGCGGGGGCTCACAGCGTGACGTGCCACCTGGCTGCGTCGGCAAGCTGGCCCTATTTCACCCATGGTCTCCTGGAAAGTGGAAGCTTCTCCCTGCTCTCCAGCAAGCCCATGAGTCTGGCTGAGACGCTATATGAGAAAGCCTTGGAACTTGTCAACTGCACCGACCTCGGCTGCGTGCTGGGACGAGATGCCGGCACCCTCAGCGCCGCCATGGGTGCCATTGCATTCCCGGGCCTGATGACCAACGTGTACATGCCTTGGGCCCCTTGCCAGGACGGCATCGAGCTCAGGGCCCCGCCACTGCTGCTGGCACGCGCGGGCCAGGTGCACCCAAGTGCGCACGTCTTGCACGGCTTTAACACGGATGAGGGTTCGACATTCTCTGCGGGCTTGCCCAAGAACCTGAGTGAAGACGCGCTTTGGGAGCACTTGAACGCCACGTATGGCAGTGACTACGCCCCACAACTCTATGCGCTCTATAACAACCAGACTTATCCCGAGGCAGCCGAAGTGTCGCGAGCCTACTGGATTGCAGAGCGGGCCATTACGGATCGGCAGTTTGCGTGCCCCACTGTGTTGGGCAGTCGCTACCTGCAGAACAAGCTGTCTGTTTACCAGTACCACTATGATTATGTGGCTGCCAGTGCGCCCTTTGTTGGGCATGGCAATGAGGTCCCCTTGGTCTTCAACATGCGCTGGGAGTTTCCCGACAGCCGCCGGGCGGTGGAAGTACCCCTGGCCAACCGATTGGATGCTTGGTGGGAGACGTTTTTTGCCTCGGGCGCGCCGCTGGCGCCTGGTGCGCCCCATTGGCCCACATTTGGTGATGCTGGCGCAGCGGCCACCATGGTGATTCGTGGCGGTGATGCCGATCACGTGCAAAATTCGGTCCGGGCTGAACTCTGTGACTTTTGGCAAACTTGGCTACTGGCGCACCTATAAGAGTGCCAGTAGCCCACTTGACGTGCAGCTCGCCCACTGCTCGACCGGTGCACATTTGATGCGCTCGTTTGCATTATCTGTTTTGAAATTAATGGGTCCGGTCCAACCAGCGTGCACGGTTTACGGCTGGGGAAATGAGGGCGTAAGGACGGGGAGGGAGGGCCTTGACACATGGTGGAGAGATAAAAGCCTGCACGAACAACGGAGAAATCGTTTGGAGAGGAAGCATCGTCGTCATCTGTGTCGGGAGTAGCATGGGTCTCGAGGCGCATGATCCAAGCTTCTTTGTAACTGCTGCCCAAAGACCAGGAGTACTGGCGCTCGCCCCCAAAGAGCATGATGCCCGTGCCGAGGCCCTCGGCGGTTGTACGCAGATTGCTATTGGCTGGCAGCTCCACCGTTACGGCAGTGATGCCACCACGAAGTTCCGGGTACGTTTGTGCATCACTCAGGACAAGATCCCAGGTATGATTGGCCAAGACGTAGCGCCATACCATGTCTGTAGCATAGGTGAGCGTATCAAAGCGGCCAAAAAAGATGAGCAGTTGCCCGTTGTCCATGGCGGCTGCATGGTCGAAGCGTGCAGCGGGGCCTTGCAGGCCGTTGGCGGTGCCAGGCGAGGCAGGAGCCGTGAACAGGCAATTGTCTAGACAGGACCAGGTTTGAGTGCTGAGGTGGAATTGCCAAAGATCGCCGAGAACGTTGGGGGCAGGCAGACTGGTTCCTGCTTGCAAGCCTCCGTAAAGGAGCAGGGACTGGGTGTTGGTGTCAAAGGTCAGGGAGTGCCAATAGCA